TGTCTCTGCAGCCTGCAGCCGCCTGGCAGGGGAGCAGGGAGGACTCACATAAGTGTCTCTGCAGCCTGCAGCCACCAGGCAGGGGAGCAGGGCGGACTCTCCTAAATGCCTCTGCAGCCTGCAGCCGCCTGGCAGGGGAGCAGGGAGGACTCACGTAAGGGCCTTTGCTGCTGTGTTGGCAGCAGGGCAGGTCAAGGCACCCAGTCTGCCTTTGTGCTAGAAAGAGGAGACCTGTGCTGTCTACTTCTTGGTGATACCTGAAATATTTAGTTCAATGTGACACCTAAAATGCATTAAGAAAATAGTTGCTAAGTGCATTTTCCAAGAGGATGTGTTCGAGAACATGAGGTTTAAAACATCACATTTTGCTTTAATGTGCCAAATGAAAAATTCTTCCTAAAAACCTTCTATAATCTAAAATTTAAACATTAAATATATATATATATATATAGTTTTCTTAGATTTAAATGCTTAATATAAAATGAAACTAAAATGAATCATTTTCCTTTGACATTTAAAAATCCCACAAATCTATCAGTGACAGACTAGGAAAGGGGAATACTGAAGCAGTACGCTGCACCCCATAAATGCATCAATGCACAAAGTTACGATTTAATAAAAAATAATTAATAATAAAAAGAACAGGAAAGGGCTTTACTTGTCAAACTTCTCTGTGTTCTGACGCCAGTGAGTCATATCTTTTCTCCATCTCAGATTTTCTTGACTTCCAAAGGCACTTCCAGACGGGCTCCTCTCTGTCAGACAGATTTCAAAACCAATTTTAAAATATTATTTTGGTTGGACCACATGTATGTATATTTGCAAATATACGAGAAATACTGCACATTAATTTTGTACATAGCCATTTTATCCATAGCACAAGCAGAAAAACCTGAGAATGATGCTTTTTTATTAACAATTTTCACAACAGTTACAGAAGAAACGATCTATTTGCTACATGGAATATTTTTTTGAAAAACAACATCCTTTTAAATATGCAAATGTTCTAACATTGATTTCCTTTAAAATCTTCATCTTGGCTACATGATTGACTCCACGGTACAACCTGACCTCCTGCCCTTCCCCGTCCTGCTCTCCTGCTCTCGTAGCCCTGCTCTCCCCGCCCTGCCTGGTCAGCACAGGTAGCCTCACTGCAGGACCTATGCAATGTCTGTTGCTCTTTTTACCTGACCTTCCTACAAATTTCTGCTGGCCCATCATTCATCACCTCCTCGGAAAGGCTTTGCCCCACTCTCCAATACGCCCTCTCCTTTTAATTAGCTCTGCTCCTTCCTGCGGCACTTAGGACCACAAGAACATAAGCTACAGGAGAACGGAAACGAGATGTACTGTGTCCAGCACTTTATGTCCAGGCTGACAGAGTGTCTGGCATCTATTCAGGGCTCAACAAGTTTCTGTTTAACAAATAAACAAAATTGGAGGAATTCCTAAAGTAATTACTCCGTTGCTCTACGTAAGGCAGGACAAGAGGAAAAACAGGGGTTTGTCTCAAGAGGTTTCTAGGTTGTAAGGCAGACTGATTGGTGTGGGGCTCTCGAAGGGGCAGCAGCAATAGAAATGGTTCACACAGATCCATCAGAAGTGGAGCCAGCATTGAGGACTGTGCAGAAATGTACAAATATAATTGAACTGTGGACTTGGTCATGATATCAAACTTTCAACTAGAAAACTGATGCTCTTTTTCTGAAAAACAGGAGACTTTACATGGATTGGGAGGATGAAAGAATAATGAAAGGAAAAATTCAGAATTCATATAGAGATTTTAAAATAATAAGAAACAAAATACAAGGAGAGTATAGCTATCATCTGTTATTAAAAGTACAAAAAAAAACCACTGATAAACAAATATCCTTAATATCATTTGCAGCACAACAAAGAACACGTCTGTGTTTTTTTCCTTCTCTTCTTTTTCTTTCCCTTTTTTGTTTTAAAAATCTCTGTATTTAAGAAATTCTGTGAAAGACAACAGAAGATACGCCTATATTAAGGTTCTTAGCAAAATAAATATCTATTTACATTCCTACCATTCCTTTTTTTTCCCCATGAAATTGTATCACATCCCATTAAGAACATTTATCATTAGGTGACCCAGCTTAACTGTACCAGTCTAAGTAAGGTTTACAAAGGCTTAATTTTTCTAAGAAAAGAAGAAGTTCAGTTCTTATATTTGACCAATGATAGGTGTCCTGTGGCCACAGGTTTAAAACAGAACAAACACAGGTTATCAGTCTCATTCTCTCTGTCACTTGGTTTATGATCTAAGGCAAGACCTTTACTGCTTTGAGTTTTACTTTCTTAATCTAAAAGATGAGTATAATTATTCCTTACATTTCGGGATTAATTAAATGACCTAGGTAAAAGTTAATTTTCATACTTGAGAGGATTTTCATACCTAGTGGATGAGTTTAAAGAACTCATAGTAAATGAGTGACCAGAAAAACCCAAAGGCACATCGTAACCAATATATAATGGTGCTGTATTAATGCCTTTAAAAGCAAAGACTGTATCTTACTCATGGTTAAATTCCAAACACACATTACATATAAAATATACTTAAACAGGCTGGGTGAAGTGGCTCAGGCCTGTAATCCTAGCACTTTGGGAGGCTGAAGTGGGAGGATCACGGGTCTGCGTTTTTTTCTCCAGCCGGAGTTGGAGCAACATAGTGAGATCTAGTCTCTACAGAAAATAGAAAAATTAGCTGGGTCTGGCAGCACATGCCTATAGTCTCCATGACTGAGACTGAGGCAGGAGTATGGCTCGATGTCATAAGGGATGTCAGTGCACGCTTGTGTGGGTTGCAAGAGTGAGACCCTGTCTCCAAAAAATAAATAAAAACAAACAGATACACACACTTAAACAGATGATTGTTAAAACAATGATTTATGCATTTATGTACATATACATTCACAGTTTGAGTCACCAAATATAGACTGTGCTGTCAGCATGTGTCACACACACAGATGGCTGAGCCGCATCCCTGGACTCTGGGACTCTCAGCACAGTACTATCTGTAGGTCACTTTAGCATTCATGGAGTGTTTACATGTCTGTGGTCACCATAAGGATGATATGATCAATTAGTTACAGCACTTTCTAAATTCTCACAACAATCCCAAAGAGAGGAGGAAGAGGAAGGTGGGGAGTTAAGTGACTGTGCTGGGGTAATATGGTTAATGGGTAGCAGACCTGGGATTAGAAAACAGGCCTCGAATGCTACTAAACTGTGGGCTTTCTCAGATTATTTGAGTTTGATGGGCAATATTTTTGCTTTATATATATAGGGTATATTAACTCATTGCATAAACTAGACATTTTTAAGAGTAAACAGGGTTGATACATAGAATGAACACTAATGTAAACTATGGACTCTGGGTTAATGCAGATTCACCAGTTATGATGAAGGTGCCACTCTGGTGGGAGATGTCAGTAATGGGGGCTGGAGAGGGGAGATAGATGGGGAATCTCTATGGGGGGGAGATAGATGGGGAATCTCTATGGGGGG